CCCCCCCCCAGGGCCCTCACCACTTCCATGTAGAGCACGGAGACGTCGAAGTTGGGGTTCTTCTTGACGTTCTTGATGACGCAGGACTGCACAAGCTGCCCCCCGCACTCCACCAGCAGGCTGGGAGAGGTCACACTGGCCAGCTGGAAGCTCTTGAGGTTCCTCAGCCCCCAGGCCAGGATCTGCAGGGGAGGGGACAGCAGAGACTGAGCCACACACCCCGTGCCCGATGCCCCCCGTGGCACTGAGTGCCACGGCCAGGCCTTCCTGGGACACCTCCAGGGCTGGGCACTCCAAACCTCCCTGGGCAGCCCCTGCCAGTGCCTGACCACCCTTTCCAGGGGGAAATTCCTCCTGATGTCCAACCTGAGCCTCCCCTGGCACAGTTGGAGGCTGTTCCCTCTCCTCCTGTCCCTTGTTTTTTGGGAAAAGGGTCCAAACATCTCCCCGGCTCCCCCCTCCTGTCAGGGAGTTGTGAAGACCAAGAAGGTCCCTCTGGAGCCTCCTTTTCTCCAGCCCCCCAGGCTCTGGGGGTTCTCTGCATCCCAAGGCCTGGTTTGGATCCCATTCCTGGGTCTCCTGCCCCGCTGGGGTGGCACAGCCAGGCTGTGCCCCGTCCCAGCTCACCTCGATGGCCGTAACCCTGTCCCCATGACCCTGTCCCTGCTCACCTTGATGGCCATAACCCCGTCCCCTGTCCCCTCTCACCTCAATGGCCATGACCCCATGATCCTGTCCCCTCTCACCTCGATGGCCATGACTCTGTGCCTGCTCACCTTGATGGCCACAACCCCGTGACCCTGTGCCCCTGTCCCCTCTCACCTCGATGTCCTCATAACCCTGCCCCCTCTCACCTCTATGGCCATGACCCCATGACCCTGTTCCTGCTCACCTCGATGTCCCCATGACCCTGTCCCCATGACCCTGTCCCCTCTCACCTTGATGTCCCCATGACCCCCATCCCCTGTCCCCTCTCACCTTGATGGCCATGACCCTGTCCCCATGACCCTGTCCCCTCTCACCTCGATGGCCGTGACCCTGTCCCCTGTCCCTGCTCACCTCGATGGCCATGACCCCATGACCCGGTCCCCTCTCACCTCAATGGCCGTGACCTCGTCCTTGTGCCCCTGTCCTCTCTCACCTCAATGGTCATGACCCCATGACCCTGTCCCCACTCACCTCGATGGCCATGACCCTGTCCCCGTGCCCCTGTCCCCTATCCCCTCTCACCTCGATGGCTGTGACCCCGTCCCCTGTCCCCTCTCACCTCAATGGCCAAGACCCCATGCCCATGACCCTGTCCCCTCTCACCTTGATGGTCATGACCCCGTGACCCTGTGCCCCCGTCCCCTCTCACCTCGATGTCCCCATCCCCTGTCCCCTCTCAACTCTATGGCCATGACCCCATGATCCTGTCCCCTCTCGCCTCGATGTCCCCATGACCCCCGTCCCCTGTCCCCTCTCACCTCGATGGTCGTGACCCCATAACCCTGTCCCCTCTCACCTCGATGTCCCTGTGCCCCTGTCCCCTCTCACCTCGATGGCCATGACCCCAATGACCCCATCCCCATGACCCCATCCCCTCTCACCTCGATGGCCATGACCCCGTCCCCATGACCCCATGACCCTGTCCCTGCTCACCTCGATGTCCCCATGTCCCCATGCCCCCGTCCCCCCTCACCTCGATGGCCGTGCGCTGCAGGACGGGCCTGATGCCCTGGGGCACCATGTAAATGTTGGGCTCCCGCTGCGGGGGTGGGTAGGGAAGGTCGGAATCCTCCGGCTGAGGGGGCAGAGACAGGGAAAGGACATGTCAGGAACCCCGGGATGGGACACCCACCCCCTCCCCACACTGGATCCCCCTGGAGCCTCCATCTCTCCGCCAAACTCATCTCCCTCTGGAAGTCCAGGACATCCAGAGGGGGAGATGAGGGTTGGGGGGAGGATTTCACTGGAAAACTGGGTTTCTCCCTTTCATCCGAGCCTGGAGAAGATCAAACACCTGCTGGGAGCGATCCCTGAGCATTCCCAGGGAATCAGGAAGGATCTGGCCTCCAGCAAGTTCAGCCCCTTTTAGGGAAGGGGGGGTGGAAGCACCTCTGTCCCACCAGGATCCCGGTGGGACGGTTCCAGAGGGATGAGGAGAAGGGAGGAAGCAGCAGCAGCAAGGTCAGAGCTGGGCAGAGTGAGGTGCCGGGAGCAATTCCCAAAAAAAGTAGTGATTTAGTGGGAGCAGCAGCGTGGGATGGGGGGCTGGCATCGCCCCTGGATGTGGGAAGGGGTTGCTGTTCCTACAAACCCCATCAACCACCATCCCATGGGACAAGCCACCCCTGCACAGTGCCCGGGGAGGGAGAGCTCCAGCAGGGTGATCCCAAATCTGGGAAGCACGTGAGGGATTCAGAATTTGCCTCCTGAGAGGAGCAAAGCAGGAGTCAGAATTCCCTGGACACTCGTGTTCCTCTGGATCTGAATCTTCCAGCCCAGAGTCACCAAAAAAGCAGGAATGAAAGGAAAACCTCGGAAAATGCCACCCCTCCAACAAGGGTAAGTTGGGAGCAATTTGGGAACCTGGAATTCTTTCCAGGCTGGAATATCACTGCATTAAATCCAGTGTGATTCTGTTCCAGTCCCAGGAGTGGGGCAGGTTTCTATCTGGGCACAAAGAAATGCTCCCCAAAGGGATTTTCCACGTGGAACATAGAGAATCATGGAATCATGGAACAGTTTGGGTTGGAAAGGAACCTTAAGGATCATCCAGTTCCAAGCCCTTGCCATGGAGCTTTAATTCCCATTGGGAATTGCTGGATCAAGCTGGAGGCTTTGGGTAATTCCCTTCTGGGGCAGATATCCAGGTTTCCCACCTGGAGAAGTCCCCCATCCCACGATCCATGTGCTCACAGAGGGGGTTAGTGCCAGTAGGGAATGGGAAGATTATCCAGGAGGTGAAGGAAGAGCATCCCCAGCATCACCTGGGAACCCCCTGCTTCCCAAAATCCTTCACCTGAGGCTGCTCCCACCCGGAATCACGGAATGGTTTGGGTTGGAAGGGACCTTAGTGATCAATCCTTGGGGAAATCCATATGGGATGAAGGGAAAACTCGAGGGAAGAGCTCCTGCCTGTCCCTAAACCCTCTCCAGGTTCAGCTTTGGAAGCCCCAGGGGACACTTGGCTTCCAACCCTGCCCCATCTCCAGCTGTCCCTGAGTCCTTCTTGCTCCCTGCTGCTCTCCCAGGGCTTTTCCAGTGGCTCTCCTGGCCCTCAGTGATTCCAGGAGGATCAGATGGGACAGCAGGGAGCAGGGAATGCTGGGGATGAGGCAGGAGCGGGGAGGGATCAGGGAACAAGCAATTCCCAGGCCCAGCTCCCACCCACAGCCAGGAAAACACCTGCTGGCACCGGGATGGCCTGGACAAGGACAAATCAGAGGGAATTCCAGGGGGAGGGAGCTCTGGAGCTCGGCTGATCCCAGCCTGGCTGGGAGCCAGGGCTGGAAGAGCAAAGGGAGAAGCCAACACAGAGCCGGGGCTGGGAGCATCTCCCAGTTGGAATGGCAGTTCCAAGAAGGGCTTAAATCCCACAGTTTGGAGGGGATTTGGCCCCAAAAGCAGAGATGGAGCAGGAGGATGGTCCCAGCCCAATCCTCCAGGAGCACCACGAGCCGGATTCTCCCCACGGCGCTGGCCCCAAACTTTGGGATGAGGCTCAGGGGGATGGGGTGGGATAAGGGGTCCCACAGGGCAGGAGAGCCAGGCCAGGCCCCTCTGGAGGAGCTGCTCTCCCCCGAGAGTCCCTGCTGGGATTTTGCTTGGATTTCTGGGAAAAGGAAGGGGGATGGAGGGGAGCAAAATACCCATCGGAGGAGCCCCTCGGAGAACAAGGCCGGGAGGCAGAGCTGTGGAATTCCCCATCCGGAGATGGGAAGAGAGGGAGGAGAAAGAGCAGAGAGATGATTATGGTCACAGCAACTCATGGGGACAGAGGGGTGGGTCCTGCTCCCTCGGGAAAAGTATCTTGGGAAATGTGCTCATCCCATCCAATCCAACCTTTCGTGAAAGGAAAACCTCGGAAAATGCCACCCCTCCAACAAGGGCAGTTGGGAGCAATTTAGGATCCCATTTCCTGGGAATGTGGCCAGGCCCCAGGTCCTTCCCTGGCTCATCTCCCGGATTTTGGGGTCACCTGGCTCCAAGGGCCACCCCAACGCTCCAACAGATCCCTGCCTGGAGTTTTCCAGGATGGAACTTCCCCCCCCCATGGTGATCTGCTCCAAAGGAACCACGAGGGCTGGGGAGAGACCTGGACAGGTTGGGATCCTGGTCTTGGAATCACAGAACCATGGGATAGTTTGGGTTGGATTGGAAGGTCATCCAGTCCAAACCTCCTGGAATGAGCAGGGACACCTCCCACTATCCCAGCTTGCTCCAGGTCCCATCCAACCCAACCCTGAACTTTTCCAGGGATGGGGCAGCCACCACCTCCCTGATGGGAATATTTCCTTCAGATCCACTGGAACAGTCCAGGAAATCCTCAATTCCTGGCCAATTCCCCGGGAAAAGGTGGCAGCTGGGATTCCAGCTGAGGTGCAGCCGAGGGGCAGCCCAGCATTCCAGCTTTTCCATGCGTGCTTTGGGAAGGGGGGAACTCCTCACACACACACACATCCCAGGGGGGTGGGATGGATCCCAACATGCTTCCCAATCCCACGTTGACTTTCCCTGCCATGGGTCAAGCACAGAGTCCACCCACCCCGTCCTGTCCCCAAAATCCAGATGCTCCCGGAAAAAGGGACTCCCCAAATCTGACCCAGCCCAAGGTGAAAAGCAAGGAATCCTTTTAAAGACTCACCTCGTCCAGGCTGGAGGACAAATCACTCTGGGAAAG